GGGTGTTTTTCCTCCTTCCTGGTGGCATATATGCAGGATATGCAGGCTCAATTTAAGGAGAAGAGATTTTTTTAATGGCAGGGTGGGGTCAGTGTCTGTGCCTGGCGCTCTCTCTCTCCCTCTGCAGTTCCTGAGAGAGACCCAGAGCACCTTGGCCACCCATGCTCTGCTCTGCCCACACTGCACACGCTCCAACCTCAGAATCAAGGTCCAAGACAGACAGATGATGGGTGTGTGGGGTTCAGTCTGGGACTGGGGGAAACTCTGTGCCCTCTGCCAATGAAACTCAAAGGTCCTTCTCTGGATGAAAAAGTGACTGTGAAGCCAAGCACAGCAAATTACACATACTGGACTGGAAGGCACCTGACCACAAGGACAAACTCACACACCCACATACCCAGGTTTAAAGAAAAAAAACCTTCCTTTGCAAAGAATGCCAGAAAACACGATAAAATATACGTCCAGAATATACTTACTATCTAAGATTGGAGGAGTAAAATAAAACTCATTCATAAGCAAAGTGTTTGCATGTTCCAGACCTGTCAGACACACAGAAAGCAGACTTTCTCTTTGTTATCACTGTGACCACAATGTGCAAGTCAGGTTGTAGGATTTGGCATACCCTCTCACGGTTATGAAAGGTAATATAATAGTAATTGCAAAGTAACTGTGGGGTCTCGCCTGAAGAGCTAGAATCAACAACCACCCACATAATGTTTAAGACAGAGTGATCTAAAGAAAATATCCTGGAATTACTGAGGGAATATCATACAAAGAGCTTCAAATTAAGCCTACACCTAATATTTAAACATTTAAGATGGTCTCCACTACAAAACCACTAACAACAGCCTAAAAATAGCCTTGCAGTTCGTAGGTGTATAAACATCCAGTAGGAGGAAATTAATTTTCTGGAGCCAGAAGGGTCCCGTTCTTAGTACGGTTTAAAATTAGCAACAGAAACATTCCTTCTATGCCTAATTGCGAATGATTTAAATGTGTGAGCAGTTCTAAAAGGGTTTATATGCAGGTTGCTGTCGTTAACGTGCTGAAGTGATAAACAGTAACGCTGCCTGTGGCGAGCTGTGCACTTTAAGGCACTTAAATATAGCGGGATCACTGGTATTCTTTCTCGCTCTGCCTCTGCAGCACTTTAGTCTCAGAAGCATCTGCGATAAGACTCTACAGGGCCATCTGCTCCGAGATTGCACTAGCAATAATGATCCTGCCAATCGCCCCAGCCCCTACTCCACACATACTTGTTACAAGTGCACAATATGTGTTTGCAGTATAGAGGCTAAATGGTACCAAAACAAGCCAAAGTAATAACATTTAAATCGTCTCAAAACGGCTTTAAGTGTCCATCATATTATTGAGTAAAATAATTGCTTAAACAAATGGAAACCTTTCTATGTTAATCAATCATACAACCCAAGTCAAGTCCAAATTAAATAAATTGGATTTATAATTTTTTTTTAAACAATGTGTAACTTCCACTACATGGTGTACTAGACCTGTGAGTTTCATTTTTAGAAATCCTGAAGGTGATTACTGCAAAATGAAACAGTTGCTGTGTTTTGCAATCTGATAACAGACCACTTAGGACCAGCAGATTGAAAAGTTGTGGACTTGCTGGGAAAAACAAGACCACTTTCACCCCTTTAGACTAAATCCTACATCAGATAACCAAACACATGTCTGATCAGGTGTATATCTGTATTGTTTTAAAGGAACAACCTTTAGTTTAGTAAGCTCTCATGTTTGAGGGGGGCTCAGATTGCAGTGAAGTGGCACGCTAGGTCAAATGACAATCTGACCCTCCCATTTTTCCATATACTGTATAGGTGCGTATACTGAACCTTTTCATTTAGAAATAAAAGATGTAGAAAAAAAGAGTTTGGGTGAATTAAAAGCAAAAATCTAGGTTAATTAATATTATAAAAAATATTTAACACATTACATAAAAAATGGATTTTTGAAGATGAAGAAAAAATTAAAGGGCTCCAAGGGTTTCTTTAAAATGTCAAAGAGAGTGGAACCCAACAAAGGCATTTCTGCAGATCTAAAATGTGTCAGTATTACCCCAAGCAAATCCTCATAACACTTTAAATCAATTGGTAAGATAAACTGATGGATCAAAGAAATACACACAACCTGGGTGATACTAGCATCATTGAATGAGACAAATGGACAGAATATGACTAAATAATATGAATTTATAATAACTTTATGATGCAGGAGATAAAGGAACTGATGCAAGGCTCCACAGACACAGTGGGCCATAATTTTCCTGCAAGACAAGACAAAGACAGAAGGCAATTGTTGCAAGTTAATTCTGCTAATGGTAGCTCTGAAAGCTACTGAGTCATCAGTGCTCCACAATGCTTGGTGTGGGTTTGAAAAACAAAAAACAAAAACAGCTAACAACCCAGTGTTAGCAACCAATTGACTAATAATGTTGTGAAAATGGGCTGCTCAGTGTCCCAGTGGGTAACACTGCTGCCTTGCAGCTGCCTTACAGCAAGAAGGTTCCGAGTTCAATTCCCAGCCCGGGGTCTTTCTGCATGGAGTTTGCATGTTCTCTCTGAGCATGTATGGGTTCTCTCTGGGTACTCTGGCTTCCTCCCACGGTCCAAAAACATGACTGTTAGGTTAATTGGCTTCTCTAAAATTGTCTTTAGGCATGTGTTTGTGTGTGTGTGAATGGTTGTTTGTCTCTGTGTTGCCCTGCAATGAACTGGCAACCTGTCCAAGGTGGAACCACCAACTCACCTGTACACAGCTGGAGATAGGCACCAGCACCCCTTGCGACCCCGCTTGGGATAAGCGTGACAGAAAATGGATGTCATGAAAATAAAACGTACTAATATACCCGGAATTCTTTTTTTTTGTTATGTTTAATCCCTTATAAAATCACCATGGTTACACTTAATCCCTTGCAGCTCTAGCCACCAAACTTTTTCTCCAGCAACCACATGAAGGGATAAAGCCAGAGTGGAGGAAATGATGTAGAGCTAACTGCTGCCATGATCCACAGCCTCACCGCAGGCACTTAACACATGCACCTGCACAGCCAAGACCAGAACAACTGGCACCCCATTCTGGTCAAATGCTGCTTCTTTCAGTTAGAGAGGAGGAGCTTCGGCCGGTGGAATTGATTTTCCATCCTGACCAAACACACATGTGGCCAGTGATTTTAATTTGTGGTTTAGTTGGATGATTAAATCAGATTATTCTTTCTGTCAAAAGCTTATTAAGGGATATTAACCATGTTTTCCTAAACATCACTCATTCTATGATATATTGACAAGACAAATGAAATCTAAAAAGACAAAAGAATGAAAAAGCTGGGAGAGCAGTGTGATTACAGAGTCTTAATTGGTCTAACCTGAATGATTAAAAGAAAAAAAAAAACTGTGGTTAAATTGCAAACCCCAATTCCTTTTATCCGTCTTTTAATACATTTACTGATCACTTTTAATGCTGAATCTAAATACCATGCACATGCTGCAGTCATCCCTTCCTTGGACAACTACAAAATTTACCATTACATCAACAATCCTGGAGGTGCTTCATAGGGAATTATCTTACAAAAAAAGAAAAAAATTGGTTTCAGTGAATTGGAAAGAGAAATACAGTATATGGTTTTATTATTTTGTGACTAGCAATAATGACAAACTGCTCAATCTGATGATTCTAAATTAATTAAAGTCCAAACACAGGTTTAGGAGTTACCCAAATAGAAAATAAAATCCATCTATCAGCATTTTATTTACGATATGACTATAACTGTTACTGTTTAAGGAAAGCCTCAGATAAGAGAAAAACTATGGTTTAAAAAAAAAAAAAAGATTTTTTTTTTACCTCTGGCCTTTCTTTTCAAGTATGAGGAAAATAAAATGTCCTGATAACATTGTGGAGAAGTTAAAAGCAGTGTTAGCTTCTTAAGCAAGTTCTAAGATTTGAATAATCTTTGTGGGCAGGATAGGTGTTAGTCACCCAACTGACCACAAGCTAAGATGACACTAATAGCTTAATAAACCCCAAAATTTTTACCCAGTATCCAAAACTTAATGCTGCGCACCAACCTGTATACAGCTTTCCCATGTGAAAAAACGGTGGTGGCAGTATTATCTGTTATTTCTTTTTTTAAATTTTCAGCCAGGAGAAGGAAGCTGACCAGAGGTTCTCAGAAAAATCTATGAAGCTAAATATGTAAAAAAAAGACCTTCAACATACAGCCAAAGACAAAAGGGACTGGTTTGGATCACAGTTTCCTAACATTTGTTGATATCACATTCTTGAGATTATCAATAGAAAATAGAAACAAACTATAAGTGATTATAAGGCATATTTATGTTAACAGATAGGAAAACTTCATTTAGAAATAGACGAAACCTAACATTGGTTTTGGTTGTTTTTTTTTCTTTTCTATAATGCATTTGATTAATCCTTTATATTTGTTTGTAATCCAGCCAATAAGTTGGGACATGGGTCCATTCTAGGACTATTTTGGTAGGTACGGAGCTTAAACCTATTTTAACCTCTGGTTTAAATAGCAGAACATTCATCTGAAATCATCCCATCTATGTGCAGGGTTCTCATTTACAAAGCTTTTATATGTACAAAATGGAGCCTGAAATTTGGCGCAAAGAAGCATTTTTATGAGAAAGTCCGAAATTTCTGATAGACCTTACATTTAAAATGTAAAAAAAGAAAAGACAAAGCTACGCCCTTAGAGGCTCTTACTGGTACCGGGATGTTCAGGCTTAAGATGTTAAAGCAAAGAAGGAATCATGCCTATTAGAATGATCTTTTATTCACACTTTATGCCTGTTGTTTTACTTAACAGCCTTTACTGTGTATTATAGTGTTCTGTTTTGTAGGATTAAAACACATTTGTTGATATCACATTTTTTTTTAACAAATTACTGTATTTGGTAATTTTACTGCAAAATCTGTTTGCTCAGTCCTTTTAAGGAATTCAGCTCTACTGAACTTACTGGGTTTGAGCCAGACAGCCAGGGGCCACAGTGTTCTGGGAGTGAGGAGTTTTCTGTACACTTGTGAGTTCCAACATGTCCACTTGCACATCTGTCACGTGACCAGGCAACGGGTTCAGCACAGTAAGAATCCTCTCAACCAGGTTGTCACCATGATGACCAACAGCTCCTGCGGATAATAAAGAGGAAAGTCAGTGAGGCTGTAATTATTATAAACCAAAAGTCCAATGGAAAGAGCACAAGTAAACCAGCAACATGATCAGGTTTTCTGATCGATGTTCGGAGTAAAGGAAAGGGGGTGAAGGGATGCTTTAAGGAGTGTGACGATGAAGTTCAGGTGTAGGCCAATATATTACTCAGATCTCAACCCAATGTATCTGTGGGATGTGGTGGAGAAATAAGATAGATCTAATATCTGGCATCAAGCTAAATCTATTAAATTCAAAAATATTTTATCAATCCCAAAGGAAAACTAAATGTTGCAGTAACACATAGTTTCTTTTTTTTTGTTGTTGTTGTTGGTGTTGATAGCTGTAGGCAGGAGGGATCTTATGTATTAGTCTGTCTTGCAGCAGATCTGAAGAAGCCTCTTACTGAAGACACTTTGTTATTAAAAAATCTTCTAAAGAGGATGCTCCTTGTTTTCCATGATCTTCTTCTTCACAAAACACTAATAATAGATAGAAAATGGAGCGGGCAGCAATACAAGCACTCCACTAGATCTGGGGGGAATTGATGATGAATGTAATAATAATTTGTCAAACGTGAGGATATCGGCTGATACCGATTTATGAAAAGGACAGCAAAAATATCGGCTAAAAAAAATATCGGCTGGCAGATGTATTGATCTGTAATATGTAGGTAAATAATGAATGGGACAGGTCAGATTTAAAGCAGGCTTCACCTGTAAGGTCCATTGTTCGGTCTATAAAGATGATTGATGCTTTATTGGGAGCAGTCTTCCGTCTGTTTCTCGCCTGGCTGTGATTGGCCAGTTCTCCTGCGATGATGCGGCTCATTGGTCCCACAGCAAAACTCTCTTCTTTCAACCCCAAGGCGTCAAACATGGAGTTTAACGCCGAAACCAAGCATTTGATTTCAATCTGCAGCTCCACTGGGAGAGACTGTCCATCCAGGTCGTTTAAAGTCCCAAATCTCTTCTTCTCTGGTCGCTTTGCGTTGATGCTTTCCAGGTCAGGTGGGAGCAGAGGAAACAGCTGAGCGAAGGGTGGAGCAACCAGCAGCTGCTGGGACACGGAGGCGAAGCCCACCGGCGCGTGCATGACCTCAGCCGTGTAGTTCATGTTCCCCATCCACTCGCACAGCTTCTCCTCAAACTGCTCAAACACAGGGTTCCCCTCCATTTCCGAGGAGACATTGTTGGCGAACAGGTGCACAGAGTGGGGCACAGCGGTGATGACGACGCAGTACTGAAAGTTACTGAGAGATATGATGTCCTTTATGATGTCCACCGTTCTCCCCTTTAACAGCGTGCTCACCACAAACACGGCTTTGGGCTCGTTCTCACCACACGCTTCGAAGCTCGAAAACTGCTTCAGGTTCCTGGCTCCAGCTTCCAGCAAGGCTGCAGCCCCTCCGCTCCAGTGGAGAGCTTCTGCACACCTGTCATCCATAAACACCACCGCTTTCTTCACCTTCGCGAACACCTTTTCCCACACGAGGAGCGGGAACTGTGTAAAATCCTCTGCGGTTAACATCTTGCTAACATACAGCGCAGGTTGGATGCAAAAAAACGCAAAAATAACCAGAGATGTCTGAGAACAAGTTGCTTCCACAAACCAAAACACGGTCCCTTCGTGGTGACGTGGCAATTGGGCGTCGCAGAGTTAAATCGTCACCTGAGAGTTGCCATGGTAATTACTAGAAGCGCACAGAAACTAAACGTTAAAGTTGCAAATATCCTCTAAAATTAGTTTTCGAAAGTTTCGACTTCCACCCCATAATAACAACTCAGAAGAACAGAAGAACCGAACAAAATAGGAACATTTTACATCTAGCTTCAAACTTTTTTTAAACGGACAGTGAATGGAAATTACTTTTCTTAATCTAAGCAGTTGGGCTTAACGGCATCCTTTGCTCTAGCGGATTTTCAGAAATTTAACATTTTTACTTTGACCGTTTTCTTTATTAAGCCACAAGGCAAAAAACATTTAATAAACAATAAATATTATCATAGGTTTCTTATTTTATTCCAGTCAGAGTCATTGAGTCCCGATCAAGACGACAACAAAATGTTTCATTGTAGTTAAGTAAAAAAAAAAAAAAAATGCATTAATTCCTAAATATATCAAATGAACATGAGTAATCATACTTAAATGGGGGTCTAATGCGTGTATGCATATTTTACCTGTCTTTCAGGGATAAATGAAATTCATGAAAGGAAGATCAAAAATCAACACCATCCTGATAGGTAGGTTGCAATTTCTATATCTGTTCATTCAAAAATACTTTTTTGTCTATCTATCTATCTATCTATCTATCTATCTATCTATCTATCTATCTATCTATCTATCTATCTATCTGTCTGTCT